AATGGGAAAAAAAAATACACAGCGTGTTTCTGGCGTCTTTTTTACACGGTCTTTTTCCTTTAGCCTTGTCTCGTTTTTCCAAAGAAGGTCCTCGATTGTGTCGCGCCCGACAAGTGGAAGTCTGGAGTTTTTCAAAGCGCAGCAGAGAGACGCGGGAAAATCTCTGGCGCCTTTCGTGTACGAGAACACGTTACGCTGATTATCGTAAACGATGCCAGAAACCGGCATTTTGAGAAACTCCAGGTGTGAAAAGTTTCTTTGACGCAAACACGTACTTTACAAAAAAAAAAAAAAAAAAAAAAAAAAAAAAAAAAAAAAAAAAAAAAAAAAATATACAGTATTTATTTATGCGGATTCGAAAATTCTGTATTTTTCATTGCCGAATCAACGCAAAAGCAAATAAACGTTTATTACAAAACAGCGATGTTATTGTATTTTCGTTTATTCGAGAAATCGTCTCTTGCTCTCTGAACGTTTACCGAACGTTTACGGGATATTCGAATTAAGAGGATCATCGACGGCGCCCGTGTGCAAATTCAATTCGCGCGGGGGGGGGGGGGGGCCAAAAGCAAATCAGGCAGAATCGTGTTTGTACAATCGGATTGCGGGATAAAACCCTCTAAAGCAGAGCCCGGCCGTAATGTCGATCCTATTTACTCGACATCCTGGAAATAATTTACACACCGCGGCCGGAATCGCGCGGCAATCGCGATTTCGATCGGAATCTCGTTTCCTCTTTTGTCGATGTTGTTCGGGACGGGAGAGGGGAGACGAAAAAATACGGTTTTACACGCGACTGCAAACGTGTTACCCGTACCCGTGCTCGCGCGGGTTGTCCGGCGCTCTTTCTGCAACAATTTAAGGTGCACAATGCAATTGCGCGCTACCGTAGGCCTCCGCGCGCGCGCGCGCTCTCTCTGTTGCAATAACTGGTATCGTAATAATCTCTCCCCGCCTTTCTCGCCATTGTGTGGGCACACGAAAAAATTCGCACGCGTGCGTATCGATCGCTATCGAACGCCGCGCGGCCGTATATGCAAGCGCGTTTTGCGTCCGTAAAATAAAAAAAGCATCCTCTTCGCGCGCGCCGCGCGCGCTGCGCACCATTGTGCAGCGAGAAACTCCTCTCGGCGACAGCTGCGTCGCGACTAAAAGCCGACGTTTTACGACAAATATCGTAATCACCCTTTATAATTGCGACTATTATATATCGTGTCTGAAATCCTCACTTTACTTACCCGGCCTGTAATCAACTTGCTGCACGAGAACGTGTGTTTCCCTTCTCTTTCTTCGTAAATAAAATAAAAGTTTTCGAAAGAGTGGAAAACATGCGAACACACATCAGATTTTGTTGCATCTGGTTAATCGAATTCAAGACAAACGGGAGAGAAAACTTGAGATTTTGACAAATACCGAAAGGTTTTTAAAATTGTATATTTTATTTAGATCGCGTCTGATATGTATATGTGTACGTCGTCATCTTTCAAAGATCTACAAATTATACGAGGGAAAAGAGACGGAGAGAGAGAGAGAGAGAGTTCCCAAATTGCCCGTTCATTCTTTCTCGAATCAAATTGCGTAACGATCTCTCGTAGCAGCGTAGCGTAACATAAAATGCTGTCAGTCCCATGATTCCCTTTCCTATGTTCGCCCCATTCGCCGTCTCCCACTCCTCCTTTCTTTCCTTGTCTCTTTCCCTCGCAACGCCAGTCTCTTCCGCGGGGCGCACACTCTGCGCTCGTTATTTCCCCTTTCCGCTCCACCGAAAACCTGAGTGGTCGGCCCCACTCTAATGTCCCTTGTCTCCTCTTTTCTTCCCTCCGCCGAGTCCCTCCGGACTGACCCGGGCCCTCTCACCCACGCCGCGGGCTCGTAGTAAAAATGGCCGGCGTCTGTGTGGACTGTAGTAAAGGTATCAGGGTCGGATCCTCAAGCTCTTAGATCGCATTAGACGGTGACATTTTCAAAACGACATTTTTACAGAGGAAGTCCGCAATACTTTTATTCATTACCGATATTTCTCTTTCATTGTAGAAAGTCTTTGTTCAACACACACACACACACACACACACACACACACGTTATTTTATAACTTGAGAATATTTATATTTATATACTCTAAGATTTTATTAATTTTTTAAAACAAAGAATTTTAATATATTTTAATATATTTTAATATATTTTATTGTGTTAAAAAAAATAAATTAATAAGAATGCATTGCGCATTGTTGTTATATATTGAAAAAAATGAGAGAACAAAGATGAGAGATTGTAGAAATTCGAAAGGATCTTCAACACGGGTTTACGGAAAGGATGCGGCCCTGTGGGGCCTCACATTTATAATCCCCCGAACGTCGTACTATATATCGTACTATATATCGTACTACAGCGTACTATACCATCGTACTATAGTACGAACCAGGCCCACGACCGCGTTCACCGGACCCCGCGCGTTTCTCTACCTGCCCGCAGGGGTCTCGGCGGCGCTGTCGTCGTTCTTGAACTCTCCCGGCTTCGTCCGAGCATTGTTGCATCGACGTCCGCTTAAGAGAGTACTTTACGCGACACACCGCATCGTGTCTCCTCCCGATTGTTTTGCTAACTTTCAGTGTGCAATGTACAGTGCAGTTGATGATCCGCGGGTTCGTTAACGATCCCCCGTGTGTTGTTGTACGCCGTGAATTTTCATGACGGAATAACGGATCGTATTTGCGAATCCGGAGCAAGCCGTCCAGCAGCTATGAAGCAAGATCAGCGGCCGCGGAGACAGGCGCTCTTCCAGATCGCCAAGGTTCGAGATTTCTCAACGATTTCTCTTCTCTCATTTTATTACTTTATTTAGTCGGAAACCGCTTCATTTGCCTTTCTGATAAACGTTTGGTAGAATTAAATAAATTGCGGTTTTGATATCGTCCGGTAACGCGTATACCGTTACATCCTACCTCCGTGTACCTGTTGATTCTCAGAGCGATCCGCAGCGTATATAAATTACGCCAGGAACATTGACTTTCGTATTTTACAAGAAAGTATCGCGAAAATTTTAGAGATTTTAGCGTTCTCTGGTGATGCAGACGTTTGAGTGTTTATAATGCGTGTTGCATATGACGGATGAAGTTTAGGACGCTGACAATGTCAAACGCGGTGTTGTGATGCTTTTTAGTATATGTTCTTAAGTTTTTACACATCGAAAATTTATAAAATATTTAAAATATTTACATGTTATTTTTAATTTATAATTGAGACAAATCACTCTAGAAACTTAAAACAATTAAATTAAATCAAAGTAAATTTAATTTTTTTTTTATGTATATAAAAATTTTTCGCAAATGTGCGTTAGACAAAAAAAATATTCAAAAATCTCCCGCTATTCCGCTTGATTGCGCGAGTATCTTCATCGGGCAGGAAGATCGACTAGAGGGGCGCGGTTGTGCAGACCGATGGATAATACATTTGCGTAATTTCCCGATAATAACATAGCAACTTGTTGCTCATGGCATCGTAGAAAATCTCGCGGAATGTAGTCGCGGAGCGCGCTTTTTTTCCACTATCAATTAACCCCGTTCAGAGCTCTAACCGTGCGACTTTATGCGCGCGCTATAAAAGTGTGACGCCAAACCTTTCAAAGCTCATTGGTAAAGCGCAGAATCAACGATTCGATCCTATTGTAGGTTATCCGATTGTCAAGGAAAGCTTTGTGTGGGTGCGGCTTTCTATTCATTTGAGATCACCTTTCTCGAAAACGAAATCGACACATCTCGCGGTATCTCCGTCGTTACATGGCGTTGCAACAAACAACAAACGCAAACTCGATAAACATTTGTGATATATTTTTGACACTTTTATTTGTTATTTTCTATTTTCTCGTTGCTATGCTGCAAACGATACAGTAGTAGATAGATGTTGACTCTGTAATGATAGAATGTGCTGCGGAAAAATATCTCCCGCAATCGCGCGTCACGCAGCAGTAACTAGGTATTTGGAACGCTTTGAAATTCCCATTCGCAGACACAATTCACTCTTGAGGAAGTTTTTTCAACACGCTCAGATGAAGATTAAATTATGCGAGGAATGATGTACAGCGCAATCGTATACATTTTAATTGCATTTTTTAACAAGATATATTTTAACAAGAATACCTCTGTCTCGTTTGATATACAATAAGATGTATATGTATACAATGAGTTATATATATATATGTACATATATTGTCAATATAAATACGAAGTAATTAAATTTTATTTTGATTTAATTATCGTGATAAATTACGTTGTTTTACGTTTATTTAATCGCACGTAAATTCTGTAATGAACTGTCATTGACACAACGCGGCCTGTCAAACAATTGCAGAATTAATAAGCATTACCAACCGTTACCGCCGAGGTACTTGCTTTCGCAAACTCTTGCCGCTAATTGGTTCGCACGTTAAGTAGCAAACCAAATAACAGATATCGAAACTAGCTTGAAGATATTTTTTCTGAAATTGCAATCTTGCTATAAGAATAGGAAAAGTGAAATTAAATTAAAAACATATTACAAATTTTTTTTTTTTCTAAACTTCTACAAATGTCAAATTTATAAAAATTACATGGTTATTTACGTGATGCTAAAGCAGAAGTGCGGAAAATGTGAATTTGTCATTTATTTCCAAAAGCGTCGAATGTTGTCGCACAGGAAGAAGGGACGAAATTATGTTCCGCTATGGGACAGGAAATCGTGATTTACTTTCCCCCGGTATAATAATATGCTAGCCATATCCCGAATGGCTACTGTCATGTATGGTTGTGTGGATCGATGCCATGTAGGGGTCCAACACACATTTACATATTTACGAGTGTTATGTATACACCCACGTGTTGCCTTTCTTGACTTGACGCCGTGTTACGTGCTACTACAAAGGATGACGACAAGTCCATTCAGAAACAAATTCGAAATCGGTCACGCTAATCGAAAAAGGATGTTATTGGAAAAAAAAAAAATCAAGTGTGTGATTTTTATTGCAGGTCCTGTGGCACCTCGATATTTTTCGAAGAAGCTTCAGGGAACTATCCGGACATGCCTGTATGCAAGAGTCATGCATCTTCTGCGCACTCAAGGTAAAGAAGAAACGCGTATTAGCAATAGAATATAATCTTTTTTTTTCTTTCAATATGATGCAATCTCACTTATAGTGTTTACGTGTGTGGCTTTGTAATAGAATCTGAAAACACACGCGAACACAACGAAACCGCTTGCACGTAACCGCTTTTGCAAACGCTTTTCTTTTATCTTCGCATCTTCCTTGGTTATCAATTTAAATTGCGCGCAAACAGTGGAGGATTAAATAATAATAACAGCGATCGTAACGACAGATGTTTCAAAGCACTTGTCATTTTTATAATTAACCGAAGTGCCTTGACACTTTTACTTCGCAAATCGACGAAACCAAACAAATCCGCGCTTTCAACAAAGAGAAAACCTTGGACAGTTTTCGCACAAAGAATATTTTTCCGGGATGCGAGTGTATTATATGTTTTTACGCGCACATGAGATTCAACGAGGGTCATCTCTTTCGAAACGATCTCACGGTAACGGTGGAAATAAAGTTCGCTCGTGTCAGATTTGATATTATCACGCGTGAAGATATTATCACGGTAAAACGCTGGTTATGTGTATTTTCCGACACGTAAGAGTGGTTCTCTTCGCGAAAGAAAATAAAAGAATGAAAAAATGAATACGACAACAATTAAGAATAACGCTGACCTTGCGTTTAACGCCACTTGTCTCAAAAAAACTTGATTGCATTTACTCGTACATTGTATGGAATATTATTGTACATTGTACAGATTATCTCAGAAAATCTCAAAAAAGATATTATTTATTATATTGATATTATTGACGCGTTGATTTATACTATGCGCGCGCTAACCTTAGTGTGACTTTAATTGCTTTCTTTCTTTCTTTATTGTTGCACAGACTGTAGAAACCTTGATTCGCCGTCGTATCATTATATCTGTTGCGCTCTATGCAATCGCGCAGAGATATAACCATCGTAACGGTATCGAGATGGACCTTTTGCCAAAGAACAGTTCTCGGTTTTCGTTCGCTACAATCGGGCGCGCGGCGCCGCGAGATAAACAGCGCGCGCGCGCGCTCTCCTCTCTCTTTCTCTCTCTCGCTGGTCCATCATGGCGAACGTTGTCTTGCCGTGGAAGGTCAGCTCGTTCCATCCAGAGCTCGCGCGGAGAAACCGGCTGAAACCGCCATGATAACGTCACGCGCTCGAAGCTACTCGAGAAGTAGGTGGAAACGCGAGTTCCCCCTCGTCGATCTTCTCACGGGGTTAATTAGCAATCTCGAGAGTTAATTGTCCTGGGCATAGGGTGTTCGGGCGCGATTCGCAGGAACAATTACCGGTCGGAAGAACGTGCGCGCTTCGTGTTGGTAGCAAATCCGTCATTCGCGGCAGCGGCGGCGGCGACGGCGACGGCGGCGGTAACGGCAGTTGTTGTCCAAAATTACCGCAATCTGAATCTAATTCAGCCAAGTTGATTTTCCCGCCAGAAAGCGTCGCAACTTTTGACATAAATGTTGCACAACCGGGTAATCATTCAGCGCAATGATGAACTACATAACTCTCGAATGTACATAACACAAAATAAATAATATTTGTTTTTGAAACTTGCACCGAATGTTTTCTCTCGTCACTTTTTATAATTCAATCATGTTTAATTTTGGTAAGTAAATAAGCTGGTGAAATTTTCAACAAATGTGTAAAAAACCGATGCAAATATACTATAGATGTTAAAATATTTACATTTATTTTTTTTATTTCACTCACACCTATTTTTCAAAGTTTTACAAAATTCTTTTGTTTTTTAAATTTTTATATTCCACGCAGGAATTGCGTTATAAAAATTATTTAATTTTTTGTAACACTTTTGTTAACAATTATTGTTTTAATAATATTTAATTTTTTGTAAAACACAATTTTTGTGCAAATTTAAAATATTCGATTTTGTAACACAATTTCTGAAATACATTTGGAAAAATAAATAACTTTGTCATACTTGAAACGTTGGTAAATAGATATGAGTCCGGTCCTAATGTACGCAGAGAGTTTTTATTGGACAGGTAACGCTTAGAAACCACTGGTATGTGTTTAACATAGAACCCTTGATGTACTATCTCTCTCTAACGATGAACTTAACATGGATCCAAACCTCACTAGAAAAATTATAGGTCTCCAAGTTTACCTGTTGTTCCGCTTATCGTCCATAAGCTTTTCACGACGCACTATTCTCCTTCACATTTTTCAGATATTTGTGTCGTCTTTTCGAGATAAATCTGAATACATTTTATAAATACGCTCAACATTTCTGAACACTTATTTACACAAAAAATACCTAAAAAAAAAAAATTTAGATTTTGTCTATAATTTCATAATAGTAAAATGAATGTTGAAAGCGAGCGATTTAATTTTAATACCTTTCTAAGTCGAATAACTTTCTAGATCGACTATCTCGATACGTTAAACGGGTCCAGATAACTATGTGAAGATTGTAGAGATCAAAAAAAAAAAAAAAAAAAGAGATTGTGTTCTCGCATACCAACGCAAGGGCTCATCGTCTAATTCGACGAAAAATTCATCCCCGCGATATGGAATGCGTGAGATGATTCATCAGGAACGCGGTTTTAAAAGGAAGGAGGAGAAGAAGGCGAGAATCCTTTGGTGTTACGAGAATCTTTTAACGCGCACGAGTTTTCTCACTCACGTGTCTCGTCTTCCTCACAATGTGAAGAGGAATGATAAATCTGAATTTTCTCACTCTTTAACTGAAGAAAAAAAATCGACAAAATCGTTGTAAACATAAAAATCGAATTTTTATGTAAAAAAAAAAAAAAAAAAAACAATGTTGTAACTGTTATCAACAGGTAGGTTCATTACTTAAGAGCGACCGAACCGAGTTCCGTTGCTTCCGGTAACTCCGGGAAGAGAAAACAGAAACTTGAGTTGCGTTACGCAAACAATGCAGTTTTAGCCTTATGATTATTTATCAGGCGACAAGTTCCTCAAACAAAGTGCTTCCTCTGTTTACTTTATCTTAGACGTTTCTGAAAAAGCGAGATGTTTGCGCGCGTTAAAAATTTATATAGTCATCGAATTACGAGAGGTTTCCCCGATGCCGCCGCGCGATACGATCCGTATACAATATGTCTCTAATAGCACAGATCGTATCGACGATGCGCTCTCGAGCATTATTTGTATATGTATTCGTTTTCGAATGTATATTACATTGTTGTATAGTTGGCGACGATAATTGGCTTCGTGTGTATGCAATTAATAGAGTCGTCAATTAACGGCGCGTTTTAATCGGTGTCGCTAAAAAAAAACCCCGTTAGTTTGTTTTAGAATAACTCGATATGTATCTTGCAATTTCGCCTGTGAAAAAAACAAAAATAAACGAGAGATCTGTAACGGTTCTTACGCGGTAAGAGAAACGACATTTTTTTTTGTTTATAGATTACCATTTTCTGTCGAGCACACGAGAGAGCCATTTCCGGCCGGCGCTAATCGCTGCTTCGACCTTGCACGTCGAAACGCTATCACTTCTCGACTTTTGTTTACTTTCTTCTTGACAATCGAATCGTTTCTTCCTCATTGTTATTATTTCAAGAACAAAACAATTACACACCTTTCCCGAGAGAGATGTTGACGCTTAATTACTTAATTGCCGTTATCTTTTTTTTTTTTTTTTTTTTTTTACGAGAGATTGGAAGGGGAAAAACAAGATAGACCTAACTATTATACCGTTTAAATACTCGTCCGGAGTGCTTTACAAGCAAGCAAAACCGAGAACCAGACTTTGCATTTGACTGTCGCGTCAGACGAAGGAGGAAACGACGTTCCGAGTCCGTACCACGCAAGTGGCTACTTCGCTTACGCGACACTCATTGCCCACGCTTCTGATTGAATAACGTCGCCGGGACGTTTAAACCGGGTTTGTCGCCGCAAAATTAATCTTCGCGATATATATATATGTATATAATGTATTACCGCGAGAACAGGCGAGAAATAACCAAACGCCACCCAATTTGTATTTTGTCCCCGATATTTCGTCCCACGCGGTTGCATATATCAGCGCGACCGGAGAACCCAATTGTCCGTAAGCGTTTGTACCTGTGTGGCAACCTATTACGTGTCTTTCATATATTCCGTCCGCGGCTCGCCAGCGCTGTACGTATGTATGTGTATGTACAACATACTCACTACGATATCGCCGCGCAAACTTGTTTCTTATGGTTCTCATAACTCAGCTAGACGGGACGCGTCAGGAACGGGACGCGGGATCTAATCGCCCGCGAGGGGGTACTCTCGAATTTATCATCCTTCCGAATGAGTGAATTTTTCTTACTTACGGACGGACTAACAACCGAGCTATTAATATCTCTCGTGAAAGAAAACAGAATCGAAAAAGCGACTCGAATCGCGAGAACCAACCAAACCAACTGCGGCGAAACGAAATTTTTCGCGCGAAAAAAAAAAAAATGACGAGCAAAGAAGACGAGCAAAGAAGACGAGCAATTGATTGTTCGAATTGTTCACCTCTCCGGGGAAAAAAAAAGATAGGAAGTCACTCCGGGAAGTCTCTACGGTCCTGGTTGGGCCCCGGTCGCTCTCCAGGTAGGTGAACGTAGGACAGCTAAACGGGTGACGTCATTGGCTTCTCGCGTCTATCGGAAGGTGGGATGAAGCGTGAAGGGGAACACTGTGTGCGGGCCCCTTAGCAAGAAGAGGAAGAGAGCCAAGATGAGAGGTGGGGGATATTCGCCAGCGCACACCGAGAGTCGCTCGGCTTCAGGTACGGGTGCACGCCGCGCCGCGTGCAGGTAGTTCTCGGGTGCTCGTTCTCGCCACGTTTCTCTCCGCGCGCGACTCGGCCTCGAGCGGAGGAAACACTCTTTATCCGGAGGAAAACACTGATAAGGGAGGAACTTGTGACGTAATCGTTTGATTCCGTGACACACACACACACACACAATACTATCTCGTGAAAAGTGCACAAGTGTATGTACATAACAATAAGCGGAACGCAGTGCGCGTAATAACTCACCGAAAACCTTGGATATAAGAAAGACAAAAGAAAGTTGTGACAAAAAGAATTTTTTTTTTATATTTGTTTCCTTTTAAAAAGTTAACGCGCGGAACGAGAGACGCCACGTGTGCGCGTCGAGCAAAGGCTCGCGCGAGCGTTTCACTCCTCGGTTTTCGAGGCGGCAGCCTTCGGAAATTGCTGAATTATTTGGAAAAGTGTGTCTGTGTCCGAATTTACGAAAAAAAAAAAAAAAAAAAAAACTATTCGCGAACAGAGAAGTCACGTGTGCGAAGAGATCCTCATATAATCCTCGCATCATCGCAAATTCATTGCCGAGAGAAAGAGAGAGAGAGAGAGAGTATTTCGCGCCGAAACCACTTGAAAATTCTTCCGGCGAACTCTCTCCGGACTTTCCTCGAGTTCCGCGAAAAAACGTCATCAGCGCGAACTCGTTTTCGGAAGAGGAAAACCTCGGAGGAAGATAGCGCGCAGGAGGATCTCCCGATAATAATGCTAAACGCACGCGCGCGCGTTATCCGAAGGAAGGTGATCGTCGCTCGGACGCCTAAACAAGTTTACGTTTTTAATCGCGGCTTATACGATTCATCCGACAACGGGTTTCCACCGGCATATCCGGCATATGCAGTCGCTCGGACATGAGCTCTTCCCTCTCTCGCTCGTTTTACGAAGAAGCATCTGCCCCGTGGGCCTCTCTCGCCTAAGATACAACCGCTTGCTCATCGTCAACCTTCTTCGTCTCCTTTCTTCGTCGCCGTTTCGTGTTCTTAAACGCTGTCTCGTTTATCTGATGCGCCGTGACTGCGCGGCGCGTTATTACTCAAAGCTCGGCGCGTCTCCTCTCCTTCTCGAAATAACGCTCGCGGCATTTATCGCGACGTTGCGACATTTTATTCAGTAACTCGCGCGCGCAAAAAAAAAAAAAAAGAAAAAAACAAGAGAGAAATCCAAATGTCGAGAGATAGACGGGAGAAAAAAGTAGTACGAAGAGGAAGAAGACGCGCCGAACAATAAAATCCCTAATCTCTCTGCGTAAAACGGAGACAGCGCCGTTTGAAGAAGAGGAGACAGCGCCGCGAGGAAGAGAACAATATGCGCGTTATCGTCCGGAAAGACGAAGATCGCGCGCGAGCACAAAGGAAAATACGGAGCGAAGTTACGGGGAACAAGTGTACCGAGCGATATTGCCGGAGAGGAAGAGAATAACGCGTCGCGTATAGACACTGCAAACAAACGTCGTCGCGCCAAGGAAGCGCACACCACGTGGCGTCTTCGGCTGGAGTGAGAAGTCCGTATTTGTCTTCGACACATTTTGCTCGCGAGACTCGCTTTCTCTCTCGCGTTCTTCCGCGACGTTCCGATTTCGGGAACGTATCGACGACGTTTCGAACGCAAGTTGGAAAATACTTCGCTCGCGCGAATTTGTCTCATATTCGAAGTCAATGTATTCGCGAGACTGTAAAAACGAAGAAGCGGAAGAATCAACGTCGCTCAAAACAAGTTGAAGAAATGCAGAAAGAACGAGTTTGAGTTCCCGAAAATGTTGAAGTGGATAAAAACTCGTCAGAACGCGTCGACGGCATCGTCGACGACGACGCCGATATCGAAGGCGGCGGCGGCGGCGGCGACGACGACGACGTCGAAAACGACAAGAACAACGGCGAGGGCAACGTCGTCATTCGTATCTCAACAGGAAACGAAGAACAATGACACGAAAGTCGAGGTGGCGGTTAAAACCAAAGAGGAGGGGGAGGACAGTGGGATGGAGAAGGAGGATTCGGTGTCTAATATCGATCTGAGCGATCTGAAAAAAGTACGGTTGCTCTCATTTGTTTCGCTCTGCGATTAAAATTCGAAGCTAATTTAGAAAGTCGCACCGATGCTCTCCTCGAGTGGTGTATCACGAGGTTCCTTCTTAATTATAAGATTGCTCCTCTAATTATAATCTAGTTACAATAAATTATCGATAATGAAATGAGTCATTAGATCCGGACCGCTCGAAACGGTGGTTTCTCTCAAATTATTATTGCAAACTGCGCGCTCCTGAGAATGCGCTCGGGCGTGTGAAAGCATATCTGTAAAGAAAACGCACACGTCGGTGTTGTGATTTACTCTCCTCTCTTCCGTGTTCGATGGCGTGCGAGATATCGGCGATATCGAAAGTCATTTGCAAATTTTACAACAGCTGTTTTTTTATACACGCGAAAATAAATATTACATCTCTTTCTCTCTTTAAAAAAAAAAAAAAAAAGTGTCTTATATTTTTAATCTCGACAGATTACACGCTCGGTTGGGATTAACGACACCGATAAGATCGCGCTGTGCTTTCATTCACTCGATTTCGCTCGATTTGACGCGATTTCTGACGCAGCCGCGGAGCGCGCGCCGGCTGGTTCGTCAGACGGCGAACCTGTCTCGAACAGGTGCCACATCCTTCTCCTCTCCGGCGAGATGTTATACGTGTGTGCCCGTTACTATCATCGCTTTTACGTCGACCGGGACACACGTACAACATCTGTCACTGCCGCCGCCATCACCCGCAAACAGTTAGCGCGCGACATGCGGCAACTTTCATTGAGGAATTTCACCTCGAAACGCGAATTGACGCGTAACTACATACGCGCGCGCGCGCGCGAACACGCATATAGGGTACCACCTCGACGATAACTTCAGAACGCGATCGTAACAGGATGACTGGCACGTACTCCGAGCGCTTCCGTACACAGATTCGCCTCATAAAATCGTCAAAATCGAATCGTTTTTCGTTCTATCGTTTATTTTAATTTTTTTCTCACATCCTTATGGTATTTAGTTTTTTTTTTTTTCATATTTATTTTATTTCGATTGCCTCGCTTTCGCACGATAATTGCGTTTGTTCTCAGCCCGTTCGCTTTATTTTTTTTGCGTGCGTTTGTTGCACGGATTTTGCGGAAACATCGCGTTAAGCAAGCGACGCGTCGCTCGCACACCGCCGACTTTCTACGCGTAACTCGGCAATTGCGGCGCGGTGAGATTAGTTGCGAAATCCACGAGCAGGCCCGGCTGCCGCCGATAGGTCGCGAATTACGACCGGTACTTCTAGTTGACCTCTTGACCATGCATCACGGTGCTACGCGAGCCGTCGCAAAAATCGCGGGGTAACGTGTGGTTGATGTACCGCGCGCGCGTCTCTTTCTCTCTCTAGAGATCTCTCTTCCAACACGCCACGCGCGTTGCAAAATCTCGCTTGCACATCGCGAAATTATTCGTGCACTGCATTATCTCGCGGATATGGTGATTAGGAGAGCGAAGGAACCAGAGCACTGCGGTAGGCTCAGCGTTGCGGTGTGATTTTATCAGACAACCCCGCGGTCTCTTATCGGCGATGATGCAAAGATTCACGTAACATATCTCGCGCGCAAGAAAAGTTCAAACATTTTCTCTCTCTTCGTCGCGTTTGCGAAATCCTCGCGAAAAAAAAAACGTTTCTTGCCGGTCTCAGCGTAAATTTATTCTTCAAACACACGCGAAGAATTTTAAACGCTTGAAATATAATAACCGTGATGTAATTTATTTATTTACGTGTAACTTTGGCGTCTCGAGTATTCTCGACGTTTCCACGAGATTCAGTGGAATCATCTTTTTTTTTTTTTTTTTTTTAATAACTCCCTGCTAAATCCTCTCGTTACATTGTCTCGTTTCAGGATCTATTTTCGGAGCTGCAGTTTTCGCAGGAAAGCGCGCTGCCGCCCGACACGCTGCGTCGCGCGCTCGCCGTGAGCTTCCTCGACCAGCAGAGGTTCCAGCTCGGTTTTATGGACGACGCGGCGGAATGTTTCGTAAGTGCCAATCATTTTGGATTTTCTACATGCCATTGCCTCTGATCGAAGCGACGAGATAGACGCCGATAGACGCAACACGCCAATTGGCAATCGACCAGAATCGAACGTACCGCGCTCAACGCGGTTCTTTCTTTTTGTACTCACCGCTCGCGATAGATCTCTCGTTGCCGATATTGTTCGAGTGCGGTTTTTAACTTTCTAATTTCTTCGAGAAACAATCAAGCGGCGGAGATTTGCATTCCTAAGCGCGTAAGAATAAATAATTACAGTATAACGTAAATAAATAAACAAATTTAACGCGGCGAAACTATATTCAAAAGTATTCGGTTTGAATTATATTCGAATAAATTCTTTCTACTCGCGACGGAGATTCTCTCGCTTCAGCGGAAAAACCTGTTTTTCGAATATTATTTTTCATTTTTTTGTTTTTGTTTTGTTTTCTCGAAGCCGAACGAACGTTTTCTCCTAATGATATCTAATGGACAAGATTCGAACTAGCAATAACGATTCTACGGCTTTAATCCGCGAGTACCGACGGGTTTGTACCGACACTATACTTTCTCGTTTACACAACAGTCACGTTGAACACCAGTACATGTGTGTCAACACACCGGTCGGCTGAATAATATCAATGCAAGTCGGTAATTTGCACACACAGCGAAAAGTGCAATAGATGCAAGGACACAGTGGTATAATCTCGCGGTGTACCGTTATTCCGCGAACGTTCTCCCGGGGAGATGATTTTTCATGAAATGACACTTGTGTGTGCAACAGCTGGCATAGTTTTTTTTTTTTTTTTTTTTTTTTATCATATATTAAGTTAAAAAATATGCACACACGCGAGGTGTGTTTCAACGACCGGTGCTTCTTTCTTCGCTGGAAAATATGGTTTTTCCTCATCAAATCTAAAATTGTAATAAGTGCAACGCCGCACGCGGAGAAGAGAGAGAAATAAGCCGTCGTTGAATGTTTAACGTTTTGGCCTTGTGTGAATGCGTGTGATTGCGACGGAACAAACGCAAAGGAATGCGTGTGCAACGCGCTGTTTTTTTCAATTTCAGGAAAACATTCTCTTGCGTATACACCTACACATTGCGAGCGGCGAGGCCGAGGACATGTGCAGCGCGAGACATTGTGTGCCGCATCAGAAATTCGCCATGACGCTCGTCGAGCAAAGCGTCTGCGGAGCCTGCGGCGCGACATCGGAGCCGCTGCCTTTTACACAGGTACGTGCGTAATTATCGTTACGCGTTTCTTCTATTGCGCGCGAAAGAAACGATCCTTGAAAGAAAATGACGTTTGAAAAAAAAAAAAGAAAAAGAAAAAATATGCTATTTTTATCAAGTACGAATGATTTGTTGTATTTTTTATTCTGTTCGCAAGTTTATGTTAAACGACTTGTATTTATTCGAAATTTTCGCGCGTATTTTTCCGACGTCAGGCACAAGACGCCGAATTTCACAAGCTTCGGTCAAATTTATGTAGTGATTTCCTGCCGTTTTCCTTTCCGTCCCTCCAGGTGCTCTTTCAATGTAGACTCGCCGTGTAGATTTCGTTTCAGATGCACGGAACCCTCCTGTTCCTTCTTTTTTTTCCACCAAACACACCTGCCGTTTTACGAACATGGTCTAGTCCTTGATTTTGTTCCTTTTTTTTCTTTCCTTCTTCTTTTTTCGAGATTTTCGTGGAAAAACTTTCCTTTTTTCCCATTATTTCTTTTCTTCGAGTTTGTGGATTTTTTTTTTTTTTTTTAGAGCTTAAACGAAGCAGAAAATAAAATTTGCGAAATTGATTTTGCAGATGGTTCATTACGTGTCCGCATCGGCGCTCACGTCCCAGGCTCACGAAACGTCGCTGAATTCCAGAAACAGTCCGGATCTCTTCGGACAGCTTCTCCGAAGAGCCGGCGGAATGGGCGACATCCGTGATTGTCCGGTAAGCGAGTCTCGAACATTGCACACACGTTCGTTTTGGAGAACACACTCGTTTCTCTTTTGTGACTAACATTTCGTCGAGAGAGTTTCATAAGAATTTAATCTCTTTAAGAGAAGATTACGATATGACATGAAACAACTGACTCATGGAAACCACGGTTTTCACGTATATGTTCTTTCTAAGAATTTACATTCGATCGGAACTTTCTCTCGAAAGTAGGATAATGAAATTCGTTCAAAGAATCCGAGTTCGAAGCCTACGTTTTTATGAAGAATAAATGACAAAAATTTATGTGATAAAAAAAAAACATTTTTTTTTCAATTCTCTTTGTTCAGAGTTCTTGCGGCGCGAAAATTCAAATATGCCGAACTCTGATGAACCGACCGGAAATAGTGTCCGTCGGTGTCGTCTGGGACAGCGAGCGGCCGTCATTGGAGCACATCATGGACGTTTTCGCGACCGTGGGCACGTCTCTACGGCTCAGTGATGTCTTCCACAGCGTGGTGGATTCCCGATGGGGCGCATCCACCGTGCACAATCTCGTGGGAGTGGTTACTTATTACGGAAAACATTATTCCACCTTCTTCTTTCACACGAAATTAAAGGTCAGATCATTACTCGTCTTATATATTAACGTCTCGTAACTGGCGACTAAATTTGAAGTGGAAAAATGAATTGAACGAATGTGTATATATTTTTTTTTTTTTTCATAGGTATGGATCTACTTTGACGACGCCACTGTCAAAGAGATCGGATCCCGATGGGAACAGGTCGTGGAGAAGTGCAGGAGAGGCCGTTACCAGCCTCTGTTGTTGTTGTACGCGACGCCCGCCGGCACTCCGGTCAATACCGAGAACGCTCCAAAGACTGTTGTCCCGTTCCCGAACAGCAACGTTCTGAAGACCTCCCCGAAAAACAGCGTCCGCCGTTCGATTACACCTAGTCCCGAGAAGCCATCCATCAACAACACTGCCAGGCGTGCCATCACACCCAATCCTGACAGTCCGCCCCATCTCTACACTCAGCGGAACGTTTACAGCGATTATCAGAATCTCACGGACATTCAGAACAACATATTCGGCAATCAGGTGCGTTGCGACAATCAAAATATTCATTGACTATCTCTATCGGATCGATTTTTTTTTTTTTTTTTTTTTTGAGAAAATTTATCGGAGAACTCTCTCGTAATTTTGTTGAATTAATGTCGTAACACAGGACGTGGACGAGGTTGACTGTGTAATAGACTCCAAGTATATCAGCCGTCGTGCCGTGGAGAACGTGATGCAGCAGCAGAAGAAGCAACAGATGCAACTGACGCGCAGCCTGAGCGTCGGTTCGGCGCCGCAGGACGGGATCAGCATTCCCGATCACATGAACGTGCCCCGAAGACGAGACTCCGGTAACTGGTCCGGCGACCGCAACAGCGCGTCGTCGAGCTCGTCTACCACGATGGACAATTCGTACATGTATCTCGTGAACAAAATGCAACGTAACTCGAACGTGCCGAAGAGCCCGATCAGCAAGTCTGGGGAACTGTCGAGTAGCAGCAGCGGTCATTACGACGCCGGCTACGACTCGTACTCGTTGTCCTCCACGGACAGTCTTCCGCTTCAACAGGGCTTGAAACACAACTTACAGGTAAATAACAAACAAGGACATAAAGTTTCAAGTGCGGCGATTAAATACATTTTAATCGCTACAAGAGATCGTGAGCTCTTGTTTGCAACTTGAATGTTGTTCGCAGCTTGCTCAAATACCGGAAGGTTATCAGCCTTCGTCGGGCGACGATTGCGAACGATTGTGTAAGGAGACGGACGCGCTGCTGGACAAGTCCCGCGCCGCCGAGGACGCCGGCGACCTCAACACGGCCGTGGCGTTGTGCAGCGCGGCCAGTAGCAAAGCCCGTGCGGCAATGGACGCTCCGTATAACAATCCTCACACAATCACGATAGCACGTATGAAACACAACACGTGCGTAATGCGAACAAGAAGTTTGCACAGGCGAATGTTGCAGGAGCAAGTAACCGTTAACGGAGATAAAGAAGGTAAGAACAGTAAAAAAAAAAAAAAAAGTGAGTTGCGGATCATTTTTGACGAGCGAACGTATTTGTGACGTGTGTGTGTGTTCTTTGTATTTTCAGAAGGACCTCCTGAAGGACGACATTCGCGAGAGAACAGTAAATCAGGTCAGCACTCGAGGCAGAGTTCGCGAGACAAAGGCAACCACTCTCGGCAAAACAGTCGGGAACTTCTAACGAACGTTCCACCGGCTGTGGCGGACAAACCGGCCACAAAAAGTATCGAGATTTACGCCACTCTGCCGAAGAAGAAAACCTTACGCAGCAAAGCGACCGCGGTAAACGTTATCGAAGATGAGGAATACATGCTCTACGATCGTCCGACGCAACGGACCGGTCTCTTCAATCGTGCAAAACGTTGCGAGGACGACAAGAAGGACAAGAAACGCGCGAGGAGCGAGGAGAGGAACAAAAATGTGTCGAAGGACTTTTCGATAGCGCCGTCCCGATTGTCACCCTCTCCGAAAGGAGCGAAAGCTGAAAAACCCAAGGAAATTGCGCAGGAAATCAACGCTGCTACCACCAGAAGTGCGCAATCCAATAACGTGGCCATAGTCGAGCAGAAACAAGGTAAGAAGCAGCACAAGATACGCAGGAAGTTGCTCATGGGTGGGCTCATCAAGAGGAAAAACAGAAGCATGCCGGATCTACGGGAAGGACAAGACGGTCAGACAAATACGAACACGGAGGGAACTTCCAACACTCTGCCGAAACAGTCGATGGACGATTCCGGCGTCGGTTTGAAGGGCAACGATGTTGGCCAATCGCTGAGCGGCTACTTGTCAGAGGGACATCTGGAGTTCACCGGAAACGGCGCGGCCGGAAACACGAGCAATCCGAATCTCGAGAGAAGTCGTTTGATGAGGAAGAGCTTCCACGGCAGCGCCGGCAAGGTCTTGCACGTAGCCAAGGTACCGCCACCTCCTCCGCTCAGAACCACTTCTCAGCTTAGCAAGTCTAAGTGTTCAGGGGGCGAAGTGCACAGCGAACAGCAGCCCGACAAGGCTGCGTATCCGTTGCAGGACGGTCGGTGCGCACCTAACTCATCGCAGGATCAAAACAATGCTTATTGGAACCACATAAACACCAACAACACGTCCAACGCAGCGAACAGAAACTCGAATTACGCGGATTACTCCTCGGAATCGCATTCTTTACCTTTTCTACCGTCCTACAACGAGCCGAACGCCAATATTCCCGGTCAAACGAATTACAACAGCAAACCCAGAATCCAGGATGATGTTGTGCAGTACGCCAACGGTATATTCTACGAACCGACGTTTGTTGTGACTCGCGCGGACGTACATAACGAACAAAATCCTTCCAACAATTCAAACAATTCCAAGCAACAATTCCAGCCGGATTCTCTACCACCCTATCCGGAAAACAACAATGTCTCACATTCCCGGCAACCGAGCGAAGAGTTTCCACCCCCTCCTTATCCATCGATCCACTCGGTGTCACATTCGAGACAGGCTAGTGAGGATTTCCCGCCGCCGCCGCCTCCGATCGACGAGCAGCCGACTCAGCAGTCTCAGGAGACTCAACAGCATCAGATTCAACCACAACAGCAACCACAACAGCAGCGCGCCCAACAACTCGAGATCACCAGTCTATTGGCGCAGTTGCAGAGCAAACGGGAGCAGATCTTGGCCGATCACGCGGGTGAGGAGAAACGACGAGAAGAATCGAAAGAACACGAGGATGAGAAATCGTCGAGTGAAACATGGTTGAGGGAACTGCAGGCTAAGCAAGCGGAACGAAAAACGAAGAGATACGTGTTGTCAAATCAGGACATACAGAAAGTTCGAACTCCGACGATAACGACACTTCAACCGACCATCGCCAGGAGAACCAGCGACTTGATGATGAACAATCTTAACGGACAAGGTTACGATCAGGGTCGTGACGTTGTCGATTGCCCGAGAACAGTTTCTTCGGTGAAAGATATGGCCGCCAGATTCGAACAAATCAAGTTGCTACCGGCGACGAAGTCAGAGGCGGACGTGAAACCCCAATCGAAGCAGAATGTCAACTGCACTTCCCCGGAAAACATACCTCAGGAAACGTCGATAGAAGAGACAAAACCAGTCAAATTACCTTCCGAAAATGTCGTCCTCACGAAGATGGAATCTCAGCCAAATTCTCAACCGGTTCTGAATTCCAATTGCGAACCGACTTCTAATCAGAACAACTTCGTCACGATGATGCCACTGAACAATCCCGGCGTTCAACAGAACGAACTGAATGCCGCGATGTTGTCCATGTCGTTGACACTGCCGCACGAGAACGGGCTGCCCGTTGACTATCCGGAGGACGACATCAGCGAAGTGGCGATGCAAAACACTATTCAGAACACGACGATACTGCCGAGTGAGGAGGACATCGCTCCGAGAAAAGTGAAACGACGAATAGGGAAGAAGAAGAGCGTGTCGTTTTGCGACCAGGTGGTGCTCGTCGCAACGGCGGAGGACGACGAGAAGGACTCGTACATACCCAATCCCATTCTGGAGAGGGTACTGCGCTCCGCGATGAACAAACCCGAAACCGCTCAGGTGTTGCGAGAGATCCGTAGCCGACAGGAGGCGGAGATGAATCGCGAGAACACCGCGATCAAGTTTCAGCAACAGACGCTTCCCTTGAAGAGCGAAGCCGACAGCATACCGGCGACACCGTTCCAGGATCAGTTGAGAAGCGTTAATCCAATGCCGATTTCCGATACGATCAAACCTACATTCGGACGGCAGAATTCGAACGACTCGATCGGTTCGTTGACGGACAAGAAGCCCTGCGGGCCGGGCGGGAACGACGGTAAAGACGTGATCGATCGCAAGGAGCCTTACGCCGGTGTGCCCGCCAACACCGTGAAGTCCGCCGCGTCTTATTCGCCACAGATGCAGCAGATCAGATACTATCACGGATACTCGCAGTACGTCCAGTCGATGTATCCGCAGACGCAGACCTCCCACCCGAGGAACCAGGGTATTCCCTTGTCGCAGACGCAGAAGCCGGCCAGTCCTTATCCCACGCAGATGCACGGACAGTATATTCCGAACGGCATCCAGCAGAAGATGCCACCTCAGAAAAACGGCTACGGCGCGTACTATCAGTTGGAACAACAGCATAATCAGCTGAACAAGCAGCCGGTCGTTCAGACCCAGCAGAATATTCTGAATCAGAGAATCCCGTCGTCTCACAACGCCAGTCCGATAACCGTCCAGCACTCGCAGCAGCAATTCTCGTATCCCTCGAATCAGTCGCCGAGTCCGTATCCGAGCCAATACTCTCAAAGTTCCTACGAGGGTCATCCCTATCAGACGGTTCTCTCGCAAGGTAGAATGGGTCAACCTTTGCCACCGCAATATCAACCGCCGCCGACCTCGTCCGCGTCCTATCAACAGCAGCAGCAGCAACAACAGCAACAGCAACAACAACAACAACAACAACAACAGAGCGCGCAAAACTATCAGCAACGGCACGACAATTACCCGCGGCAACTGCCACCCCAGAAGGTGGATCAGAACCCCGCAATGTCCAATCAGACGTATCCCAAGGCCCTGCAAAACGGTCAGATACAACCGAACGCGAAGTATCCGGCATATCAGCATCCGCCGTTGTCGAAGCACTTCGCGATGTCGACCACAAAGGTCGTCCCGTCGATGATGACGCAGCCAATAGCGACGCAGTCCGCGTTACCGACACCGACGAGCATCGCGAACACCATGAGAGCGTGCGTAACGCCCTGCAATCTCTGTCGGAAGCGAACTGTGCTAGAACCGACGCTCTACTGCTCGGACTGCGACTTCTACATGTCCCGCTTTCGAGCGGGCAACAAAACCACCTGACTTCCTTCCGGTGGAGAAAAACTTGCCGATTCCGTCGAGCTTCCACAACGAAGAAACCGCGCGTCTTCTCTTTCCCGTAGTAGTTAATTAACTGACGCGTATCGACAGACGCTCTCGCGTAAACGTGAGGTGTTAGAAATGTTCGATACGCCACGCGTAATTGCGATTAAATGAAATAAGCGTAAAAACAAAACAAACAAAAAACTGACAACAATTACGTTGAAAATGAACACGTAATTTCCCTGCATGCATACAACTTGTTATAAAGTTTTCTGGATAGCCACGCGTATAAAGTTTGGAAAAAAAAAACTTAGATATTAAAATCCGATATATTCTCTGTTAAATGACCTTCATTGGAATATTTGATAACTGTTAATTCATTTTGTGTTTATAAATATTAGACAATACTATTGAATACGAGAGACCCTCATCGTGCAGCTACATACGTTATTATACTCATGTACAATTTTATATATCAAATAGAGCATCCATCTACCTATCTACGTTAGTTAGTTGTTATAGTTTATATGTTAAATATATATATATATAGAGAGAGAGAGAGAAAAGTTAGTTGTCACACATGTTTTCGTAGCCATGTAGCCATTTTACATGTAAATAGACGAATTTACTAAATGCTTTTTTGAAAAGAGAATGAAAAAGAAAGAGAGCCGATGTTACAGTTGTACGAATCTACACTTTTACTTTTTTAAGCTTCCACGAACTTTGTACGCGCTCCGTGTTGTATACGCGTCATAATTTTTTTTTTTTGTTTTTGTTGAGAGACGAGACGAGAGAAAGAGTTGACTTGTGATACTAGACCATGCTACGTGGAACTTACTGTATCTCTGTTAGAGTAGAAAGTTTATAATGTAATTAACATTTTTCACATCGCGCATTAAGGAAAGAGCTCGATGTTGGCGAGAGATAGAAACGGACGAAACTTTGATCTCTGAGAACGCGTGGAGTTCTTTTTTTTTTTATTTTCTGTTATAATTAACGACCTCCCGAAAAACAAACGTCTCTTATTGTGTATTATTAACGAACAATCGCGTTTAAACTGTGTATTATCTCCGTCGAGTGCTAGTTCGATGTACAAATAGATTTTATACTTTTTGTATGAGTATTTTGTTTTAAAAATACTTTACTTTTATTGTGACATAAATAAATAAAGTACCCTTGCAACAATATCGTTTGTGTTTTCGCTTCGCACGCGTCGTTGCGATATGGTGGAGAGTTTTCGTTTTTTTTTTTTTTCATAAACAAAAATGTTTTGGATCTTCCTTTTGTTTGGAGCGGACTTGAACGTCTTTGATGTTACATTCCTCATTTTGTGTAAAATATCCACTAACATGTAAAAAGATCGTATACTTTTTGGAACAAGAAGTCGCGGGCAATGTGTTTTCGCTTCGCGCGTGGTTGTTTTAATAAACGAAAACGTTGCAGACTTTTCTTTGTTGCAAATTGAACATATTTCGTCGTAAAATATATATTAAGATTGAAAAAGACTTACTTTTTTTGAAGAACAACAGCCTGAAGAAGTCGTCCGCAAGTTTTCCGCGTCGCAGCAACGATGTGGCTTTCTTAAGAAAAGAAAAACGTTTCGAGCCTCTCATTGTGACAAATCGAACGTGTTTCATCGTGTTCAAGAAAAATCTCTGTGACAAAATGTCCTCATGATTGTCCTTCAGACATGCGCACACGTCGAAACAATCTCGTCCACAAGCGCCGCGATGTTCACGTTTCTTACACGCGAACTAAGCAAAATCAACTAGCGGCGAATAAAATAAACTTCGTTTGGTTCTGTTCCGCGCTACGTGTGAGCGCGCTTTGCCGCGCGTCGATTCGATATATTTCGAGAATCGCAGTATCGCGCGCTTCGATATTGATATCGTCTCGCGACGCGCAGACAGTCATGGCGGACGCGCGAAGCGGACGATCTGTATCTCGTATTTTTCTCGTATAGTCTTCGCGCGCGTATCGTCTCGCGCGTAATTATCAGAGAGTGTCGCGGATTATATCCTCGAGCGCGAGGTGATATACGCAATCAAATGTTAATTAGCGAGCTTTTATCACGCGACGAAATCGCATCGCGGCCGTTGCGCCGCTCTCCCGCGCGAGGAACAAAATTTCGCGCTCGCGCGTCGCTTCGAACGCAACGACTGCGCGTGTTGAAGAAACGGCGTGAGAACTAACTTTGCTACAATACGCGCGATAAGTGTGCCTGTAAACGGAACAAGATATACGGTAGCGAGCAACGTGCGACATGGCAACGGAACAATGTAAGGTTTGAATCAAACAGGGACTTATACCGGTATGCAAAATACCGGTATTTTAGCGATATTTTTGGGTAATACTATGAAAACCCTTATGCAAACCGAAATGCAGAAATACCGGTATGACGTCATACCGGTATACGATAATACCGGTATATTTACCCATATTTACCTATAATTACCGATAATTTTTTCGTGATTTTTAAAAAGTAATATCTTAAAACTATAAGTGTTGTCATTATGTTGATAACACTTTTTAATAATATAATGTTCATAAAAAATTGCCGCACAGAAACTTAATATTATTTAAATTATTATTATTTTTTTATATAATTAAGAACAGTAACAATAATTAATATAATTAAGAACAGTAACACAAAATACACATGGACATATTTATCAATATCCAAATTTGTTAAAAATTTCACGTTACATTAGTCATGCTACGTAATAAAAGAAAGCATGAATAAACAGCTGCTTCAATTGGTTTATAAAAAAAAGCGTCTTTATATTTTGTCGGTCTATAAGTCCAATAAGCGGTAGGAAGATTAATTATGCAACAAAAATTGCTTTAATTAACTTATCTAANACCATTAGTAGGAATACCGAAATAATACCGGTATTTTATTACGGTTTTCGGTACATATCGGTTTCGGTACTATAACGGTAACGGTATACAATCTCTAGTATAATACCGGTATTGAAATCATACCGGTAATAAGTCCCTGGGTTTGATCGAGTTGATGTGTTATCTTCTTAAAGAAATTATTTGCTTTTATTTATTTATTTTATTTGCTTTTGTTAATGTCAAACATTGTATCAATTATTGCATATTTAATATCACGAGCGTCGATTCGATATTTCGAGAATCGCAATATCGCGCGCTTCGGACACTGGATTCTGGCGGCAGTTCACGGCCGCCACGCGCGACGCGAGTACAACTTCCGCTATTTCTCGCGCGCAGATATCAGCATTTCGAGCATTTGGAATCGTACGTAAGTAACGTCGCGACGTTAATCGGCGAGTAAAAGTATTTTGCGCGGCTCTGTTCGTAAAATACTTTTAATTGATTACGGAGCAGAACTGATAGGGTTCGAATTATCTCTCGCATTCCTCGCGATTGTTATCGTCTCGCGCGCAATTATCCCAGTTGTACGCGTGTGTCGGGCACTCACACACACACACACGTGTACGTTAACTCCGTCTGTGGTTTCAATGCGCCACATATCATCGAGAGCACATCGGCGCTCGAAAACGGCACAATCTGCTAAATCTGGACAGTAAACCGCATAGTATCGTTCTTATTCGCTGAGTCGACTGAAATATCACACAAATCGGCTGATTCGCGCGACGAGTACCATCCGCTTATTACCATCGAACGAGACAACAATCGGATCGATAAAACGAGTTCTCGCGCGTTTCCCACGCGAACGAGTTTCCCGCGCTCGCCACGTCAGCTGATCGGGGGCGCTGGCTGCGACGCGAAGTTGTCACGCAGACCACGCAGGTGGTGCTCCTATTCGTAATGGCGTACGACGATTGAGAGTCCGACGTGCGAGTGTACGCGTAAACGGGCGAGTGCACGGGAAGGATTTTCGCGTATTTCGCAAGCAACGTTGGTGATTGAGTGCGGCGACGACGTTGCCGGAGTGTCGTGCTTAACGCGGCAAGATGACCACGTCGACCGGGGTGCTGCCGTCGTATCAGCGCTTCGCGAACGGCGTGCCGGTGCCGTTGTTCACGAGACGGTCTTTCCGTCCGCGCGAGAGATACCTGATCCTTCTCGTGTTCCTGACGTTCGGCGTCGTGTGTTTCGCGTTCTTCTTCCTGCCCGATTTTCGCACGGGCACCGCCGCGGTGAACAGTGTCTATCAGCGGGTTTACCAACGCATGCAGAAGGCCGGACCGGAGCTGTTACTGCCGGTGCCGCCGCACGCGTCGGGCGACGTCAAGGATTCGCGTTCGCGCGCGCATCCGAACGCGATCCCGCCGGGCCACGAGGATCGGGATCATCAGGATGTGCATCTCGTCGAGGACAAGCAGAAGCTGCAGGTGCGAATTTTCGCGGGTCGAACCCAAACGGCGTTCGACCCAACCGCCGTTCGATTCTCGACCATCTCGAACGCCTTGCCCGTTGAAAAAGACAACACGCGCGCGGTCAGCTGTCACACTGCGACTTGCGATCTTTCTCGCGCGGCGGAGAATTTTCTCACGTTTCCGAGAAACGTGCGCGCGTGTCTCCGGGATTTATAACACACGGCGTTTACAATCGGAGTCTCACTATCGATACGCTACGTTATCTTGTTTGTTTACATACGGCCATTGTAACGTGGCATGGCTGACGCACGTGCGCGACGTGAATCCCGCGCTTGTTGTCGTTTCTTGTTCAAGGCTTCTTTTCTCAATGGGAAATCTTTATCTTTCACAAATTCTCGCTTGTGTGTTTCGAAATCTGACACATCGCGCGTACACAACATTATGTGAATGAATAGCTGAATCGCGTTTAAATGTCACACGTCGCAATCGATTCTCGGAGCAGCGCAGTGAAGTTAGCTGAATCGCACTTCGCTGTTTGCCGCGTGAAAATCAAGTAGCAGGCTAATTAATTTATTCACATTATTCAATTTGCATTAATTCATTATTTATAATTTTACTCTTATGTAATAGTCGTCCGTCGCTTTTTAAGAATTTACGGACGCGAATTTGTGAGTTGAAGAAATAATAAATTAATGAGAAAGATAAAGGATCGGTATGGAATCGTGTTCGACACGATTATGTTTGATCATTTTTAAATGCTTTTTTTTTAAGACTGACCAAATACGCGGAACAATATTTAAATCGGATCGCGCTCAGCTGCTTCGGTTATTAGAATTCGTTCAAGGTCAGTGTCGGAATCGGAATATGCGGAAGGCAAACGTGATAATCTCGTGCCGCGTGTGTGTCGAAGAAACCGTTTCGTGTGCGCTCTTTTTCTTCCTTCGCCTTCACGTGAGTAGGTTAGGTCAGCACAAGGCCGCGCCGTGATCTTGCCCTCGTAAGGCGACGAAATATATCGACTCGGAAATTTCAAGGGAATGATTCTCGCATCGCCACGCGATTCGATAAACGTGTTCGAACACTTATCGATTCGGAAGAGAGTTTTTCAAATTTTGTTTTCAACATGACTTGTTTATTATGAAAAGAAAGAAGAAAAAAAGATACGGGGAGAGAAATTGAACGGAAGGCATCGAAGAGACGCCGCAAACGTTAATTTACAATCTGTTTCACTTAAAAAATTGCTGAGTGTAAATTATATTTCGTGACGCGTTAATTGATATACAGATAAGCGCGCGAATGAAAATGCAGTTTATCTCGTTCAGAGGCGCGCGACTCGTTTTCGTCGTTATTTTATATTGTCTTGTTTTTTTTTTTTTGTAGAAATAATAATAATCAAAAATAGATATCCTGCCTCTCTCGGTGTTTTACACGCACGTTGCGGTTCTTCGTCATTAATCAGAACGACGCATTGCGTCGTCGCGGTCGATTTTTAAGAGCTTCTCTCTTGCTCGCTCACTCACTCTTTTCCTCTCTCTTTCTCTCTCACATACACTTTCTGCTTTTCTTCCTCTTCTTTCTATCATACACTTATATTTCATTTTTCACAAATATCAATTTTTATCAGTTTTTGCTTTACAAGAGGTATATAACGAAGTGTCTCGCGCGACTTGATTGCATTACCGTGACTCTTGATCCGAAAAATCCGAGTATCGCAAACTCGATAAAGACCACGTAATACGAAAGCGAAATGCGATCCGCTGATGCGGCTCTGATTGCGCGAGCGTCGTGGAAAAATTATCTCGCGTTGCGACGTTGGCACATGGAAATGAATGGTTATTACGGACATAAAAAAAC